TCCCAGTCCCACCCTGCATCCCTTGTTCCTCTTTCCCTATTCCTAAGAAAAGGGTAGCCCTCCCCGCTCCACCAACCAACCCCAGCTCATCAAGTCACCTGAAAACTGAGTTCCTCCCCATCACCTGTGGCCTGGGAAGGCAATTCAATCAGGAGGACGTGATCAAAAAGCAGGCAACAAAGTCCATGACAGAGACAGCTCCTGTTCCACTAGTGGACCCATATGAAGCCTGAGCTGCCCATTAGCTACATAAATATAGAGGACCTAGGTCCAGTCCATGCATGGTCCTAGGATGGTCCTTAGACTCCACAGGCCCCTCTGTGCCCTGGTTAGTTGACTCTGTTGGTCTTCTTGTAGAGCTCTTGTCACCTCTTGGTCCTTTCATCCTTCCCCCACTTTTCCACTAGACTCCCTTTGTTTTGCTGCATGTTTGGCTGTGAGTCTCAGCATCTGTTTTAAACCATTGCTGGATGGAGTCTCTTAGAGGACAGCTCTGATAGCATAGCAGAATATCATTAATAGTATCAGGGGTTGGCTCTCTTCCATGGGGTGGGTCTTGGGTTGGGCCCAGCATTGGTTGGACATTATCTCAGTCTCTGCTCAATCTGTTCTTTCTCGGCCCTGCAGATCTTCTAGGCAGGGTAAGTTTAAGTAAATGAAATGGCAAGATTTTTCTTTTCTTCATTTCCACCTTTCCCTCTTTCTTTTCTTTTTTTTCATATAAATACTTAAAATTACTTTAATAGTATACCTTGCAGTAAGTCAAATTATTTCTGCTCAATTTTATTCAACAGAAGATTTTGGAATATCCAATTTGCTTGTAATTGTGAATGCAGTTCTTTTTTTTTTTTTTTGTTAATATTGCTAAATGCTGAGTTAAAACAACACTTAAAGATGTCTTGAATATACCAGAATTGCTGAAATAGAAAAGTTGCTCCAGTGATTTTCAGTATATTTAATTTTCAGATGTTTATCCGCGTGAAGCATAGTAAGTAATTTTTCAACCATTACTTGAAAAATCTGCAAAAATTTTGCTGTATAAGCGAACAGACATTTTACATTAAGAGGTAACTCATGCAGTAATTCTTAGGACAATTTAAATTATGATGAATGAACATTTTGTGTCTAATTTATTGTGGTTTATCTGAATCCTCCTTTAGAGTGCTCTCTACTTCTGGTCCAGTTATTTGGTCATTCACCTTATTGGTTATATGTGTTGCACATTTTTCAAATTTCTGTGTGTGAACTTGTGCTAGCATTGTTTGTTATATTATTCAAATATTTCCTTTACAAATGCATTTTATTTATGTACTTGTAAACTTTGAAAACATGTTTTGTTAATAAAATTTAAAAGAAGTATCGTATCTTTTGGGAATCAAATACTTCACAAATAGATTTCTTTTTCTCTTCAAAAGGAATAAATCCCTTAACCTATATGCATACAGAGGGTCATCTGTACATTTTCTCATGATTGCCTGACTTAGCTTTTCACTTAAAACATTGGCAAACAAGATAAATTTAGTTGCTGTTTCTCTTTGTGTAAACTTCTCTAAATCTTTCAAATAAAGTATAGGTGTTAGAAATAACAAGATTTTTGATTGAAAAAATATTGGGAATTTTACCTAAAATGAGAGTGTTGAGTTTCTTTATGTCTCAACCTTTGGCAGTGACCCCTGTCCGCTCATTGCATTTGAAGCTTTTGTTAGTCCAGAGGACATTACACACATTTACTTTTCTATTTTTTCCCACTGCAACATGAGCTTGGATGCCTAACAAAAGTAAATGTACTTTTTTTTTTTTTTTTAATGATGTCCCTGGGGACAAAATCATTCCTCACATATACTAGGTAAGCACTCTATCACTGAGCTACAGCCCTGACTCTTTTTTTTTTTACTTTTATTAATTACACTTTATTCATTTTGTATCCCCCCATAAGCCCCTCCCTCCTCCCCTCCCGGTCCTACCCTTTCCCCCTTTCTGCATGCATTCCCCTCCCCAAGTCCACTGATAGGGGAGGTCCTCCTCTCCTTCTTTCTGATCTTAGTCTGTCAGTTCTCATCATAAGTCAGCCCTGACTCTTAAACGTTGAATTCGCTTGGTCTTTGCCATGTAATATAGTATGGAAAATTGATCTCATTCTACTTGTTAATCTTCACCAATTAAACACTATTCTTTATATTTTATATTGCTTTAGTAAATAAATTTTTACATAAACGATCCCATATACTTGTTAATTTTGTTTATGGAGAATTACTTTTTATACTCTGAGGGTAATGACTGATCATTTACCATCTGTTTCTATTAATCAGTCTTTTTATCTCCCCAATCAGTGATATTATGTTGTATTTTATGTGAGTTCATTTCTCCCTCTTCACTTATGATTTTGATATGTAGGAAACTATACACAAATTCAGTGAACTTCTGTCAGTTCTATTCGTGGCATAATATGAAGCTGCATTCCAGTTCTCATAAAGTATTTTGGGTGGTTAATGGAATTAGCCATCCTTCCTGGTTGTTTCTATAAAAATTCTTGCTTTCACTTAATATTTAGTAGTAGCTTTGGCTGTTCTTTTCTAGGAATGTAAGCTTTAGATAGATAGATAGATAGATAGATAGATAGATAGATAGATAGATAG